GGACCTCAGAACATCATCTGGTCCAGCTTTCCATGGAAGAGGGAGCCTAAGTGAGATGATGTCGCAACCTGTCATGAAAGACTTCCTGTGATGGGGGCTTCACCACTTTTCCTGGAGAGGTTGTTCCAGTGCTTAGTTGGTCTTACTATAAAAAGTTTCTTGTATCAAGATGAAACCTCTCCTGGTGCAACTTATGCCTCTAGCCCCTTGTCTTTTTGTGAGGAAAGAGCCTCCATCATCATTGCAGCCACTGTACTGGAATACTGTGATGAGCTCCCCCCTGAGCCTGCTCCAGGAAGAAATCATTCTATATGATTTTATTTATATGTTTTAACTTATCATTACTAGTATCTTTGTTGTTATCCAATAAAATGTAAACTGCATTACAGTATGTAATTGTATCTGTATGTAATTTGTTTTTGGGGAAATACCAGAACTTAAAAATAACTGCAACTCTGTACAATGACTCTTTAACCCTAGCAAGTACCAAATGTCTTCCTATGAGCCAGGATGTTCAGCAGAACACATGGCAATCTGCTTTGCAACCAATCCTCTTTATGTGCTTGTCAGTGTCTTAAGGGAAGCCTCCTTAATCCCCACTCTAGCTGATGCATTCTCTGGTTCTTTAGGGACAGGTCACAGGAATTAATAAAATACTGTTTTTCCAGTACAGGAGTTTACGCATTGTTTTAAAGAACACTGTAAAGTGTTCGTTGCTCTCCTTCTTTACCCACTGACAGGTATAGTAATAGTCAATTTTGGTTCTGTAATTAAACCCCAAAGTACACAAACCATAGAATTGTGATAAATGCTTTAGGTATTCACAGTGTTATGGAGAAATATAAAATATTGTTCCTAAATCACATAATTTTTACTTTATCTTATTAATAATAGTAAGTTCTTAGAAGAATAATTTAGACATAAGGAATCATAGCTATTGCTAACTTTTGCCTTGTAAAGATAAAGAAGAAAGCCAGAATTTGATTACTTTTTCTCTTGCAGATACTTACTCCAGCTCTATGAGACTTCATCTGATATAATTTAATTCAGAGGTACTTTGGTTTGGTTTGTTGGTTTTTTTTTTTTCTTTTTAATGACCCACAGGACAAGCACCAGGCTTCTAACAGTTCACTTAGATTTATGTGTAGTGGCTGATGTACATAAATATTTAAAATCTCTGGGAACTACAGCTGGTATATTTACTGTCATTGCTCACTGAGGGCAACTCATAGATATTTAGTGAGTTTGTTTACATACTCATTCTTATATTGCAGTAACACTTCTGATAGTATTTTCTGTTGCTGTTGACAGAGTATGTCACAAAGTCAGTAATGTAGCAAGGAAACATGAATAGAACTTTCAAAGGTCCAGGTGGTGGCAAACCTCATACATTTCCCCTTACAAGAGCTTAAAATTGATACTTAGTGATGCTCTTTAACTTTGAGCAATGGTCTGTCAGATTATGTGAATCTTGTGCATTTGCGGTATCTTTTGCATTATCTGCATAGGACCATACTGGTTGTCTTATTCTGTAAGTATGAAACAAAACACTCATGGAAATTAAATCAGAGCTTCTTAGGTCACATTTTATCTGTTCTTTTTCCACATTTCCTGCTGCTTTATTTAATGGGAAAACCAGTATTTTTGTTATTCTGTGATATTCATGTTTCATGAAGTCACTTGGGTTCTTGTAGTTATTTGCCTTTTTTTCCCCTCTCAACTCCATTACAGTTTTTACAGTTAAGGAATCCACATGACCACATAAAAAGTCAAATTCTGTCTGCACATGCTATACAAAGCACACAGATGCTTATTTGCTCTGCTCTGTGGGAACGTTCAGCTTCAGGATGATTGAATGGTGCCAGTGACAGAATTTGCAGGCTGTCTAGAGCATCCAAAGAAAGTTACCCTTAAGGAAGAAGTTACTGCATTCTTTGACCCTGACACAGGGGCACGTTACCTTGGGCTTAGCATCCATCACCTGAACCCCATGCGCACTTCCTCATTTATGTGATGGTGGAGGGCAGGCTGATGGATGACATGACTGCCTGATGGGAAACTCTGTACATCCTTGGGTTCTTGGGTCTTCTATCCAATTGCAAGTGTTCACAAATAGGCCCTAGAAATTACATGTGTTAAATACAAACCAAAATTATTCTTGAGATCCTTTTAGTATCCTGGATACTCTCAGAAGTGGGGTTCTTTCTTGATGCCAGCTGCGTCGTAAGGGAGGGAAGCCAGGAGCTGAGGGGGATGCTGTGGCCAGCCAGAGCATAACCCACCACCTCCAGCCAGGGAGCAAGGCAGGCAGGGATGGAAAGGGCAGCGCAGAGCCCAGCTCATAAGGCAGGTGTGTGATAATAAGCAGGTCTGAAGTCAAGCACATGGGTCAATCCTCAAGTCAGGGTCAGGATCAGGTCTGATGGGATGAAAAGGGCCAGACATTGTGCAGGCATCACCAGGCAGGTCCATGGGGACCACCAGCATGGAAAACTGGTGGGATGTGGTCCAGGTCAGCAGGATCCAGATCACAAGGACCCATTGCGATACATGCCTGACCAATTTGGTGGCCTTCTATGATGGGGCTACGGAACTGATGGACAGGGGTAGAGCGGTTAATGTCATCTACCTGGGTTTGTGCAAAGCATTCGACGCTGTCCCACACAACATCCTTGTCCCTAAATTGGAGAGACATCAATTTGATAGGTGGACCACTCGGTGGATAAAGAACTGTCTGGATGGCCGCATGCAAAAAGTTGTGGTCAATGGCTCAATGTCCAGCTGGAGACTGGTGATATCCCTCAGGGATTGGTGTTGGGACCAGTCTGGTTCAACATCTTTGTGGGTGACATGGACAGTGGAATTGAGTGTGCCCTCAGCAAGTTTGCTGATGACATCAGGCTGGTGTCGTTCAGTTGGTACGCTTGGTACGCTGGAAGGAAGGAATGCCATCCAGAGGGACCTTGACACGCTTGTGAGGTGGGCTGATGCCAACCTTATGAAGTTTAACCATGCCAAGTGCAAGGTCCTACACCTGGGTTGGAGCAATCCCAGGCACAGCTACAGGTTGGGCAGAGAAGAGATTCAGAGCAGCCCTGCGGAGAAGGACTTGGGGGTGCTGGTCAAAGAGAAACCTAACATGAGCCAGCTTCAGTGAGCTCTTGCAGCCCAGAAAGCCAACCGTATCCTGGGCTGCATCAAAAGGAGCATGACCAGCAGGTCGAAGGAGGTCATCCTGCCCCTCTACTCTGCTCCCGTGAGACCCCACTACAGTTCTGGTGTCCTCAACATAAAAAGGACATGGAACTGTTGGAACAAGTCCATAGGAGGGCCATGAGGATGATCAGGGGACTGGAGCACCTCCCGTTTGAAGACAGGCTGAGAAAGTTGGGGCTGTTCAGCCTGGAGAAGAGGCAGCTGCATGGAGACCTCATAGCAGCCTTCCAGTGTCTGAAGGGGGCCTATAGGGATGCCGGGGAGGGACTCTTCATTAGGGACTGTAGTGATAGGACAAGGGGTAACGGGTTCAAACTTAAACAGGGGAAGTTTAGATTGTATATAAGGAAGAAGTTCTTTACTGTGAGGGTGGTGAGGCACTGGACTGGGTTGTCCAGGGAAGCTGTGAATGCTTCATCCCTGGCAGTGTTCAAGGCCAAGTTGGACAGAGGCTTGGGTAACATAGGTTTAGGGTTAGGGTTAGGGTTAGGGTTAGGGGTGTCCCTGTGTGCAGACCTGGATGCCTGGATGATCTTGAGGTCCTTTCCAATCCTAACTATTCTATGTGATTCTATGTTATGATCTGCCACTACATCCATCCGTTTTCTTCTTCTGTGACATAGTTTCTCCTCACTGGGTGAGGAGTCATTTTAGTAAATCAAGAGCAAAGAGCTTTGGTTGCTAGATGAAGGAATCCTACATAGCAATGTTTATAATTGCAAAGTAGTCAACAAAGTTATCATATTAAGGTAACAACTGATGACAGTCTCACAGGTTCTTTATAAATTCTTCTTCTCTTCAAAGCAGAAGTCAGTCTCTGGGACATTGTATCAAGCACCATCTTCACATAGTGGTGGTCTAATTATCATGAATATCTTAGCAGAAATTCATTTGCTGACAAACATGCAACTGCAATTTGGGGAATCAGTCCAAAGTCTTAATAAACATAGTCTCAGGTTATCCTGATACTATTGCACAAGGCTCTAAATAGAAGTGTCAGATACTCTGCTCAAACTGTGGGATAAACTGGGCTTCTTATGACAGGCCCTTCTAATCCCTGGGGTGTTGATCTGTGCATCTCCCCCAATTCCTCTATTCAGTGTGCTCCAGGATATGGGAGGACGTAAGGTCACGATTCAGATCAACCCTGCCAGACAGGCATATTTCTGGTTTCCAGTTCTGAGGTCAGTGAAGAGCCTCTGGACTTTCCTTTTTTCTGTCAGACCTACACTTGCAGGACACTTGAAGGGGAACACACAGCATGAGTCCTGCTTTCCTTGCCCCATGTATTTTCTTTGATGAGAAGCTGATCTATAATGATGTTGAATAGTTTCTCCAAGATGCTGGTAGATTCTTTTTTTTTAACTAGTTGAGAAAAATTGAACTCAAAGGTGCAATAAAAATGTTAGCTTCATACACAGCTCATTCCCACTTTCTAAATCTCTTTAAAGAGTATAATGAGGTCAGTATTACACAACTGACTGATTTCTAAATGCCTGGAAAAATCAAAAATGTTCCTCTCCTGACCTTTTTTTTTTTTTCTTTTCTGTTACTGCTTCGTATTTCTGGCTTAAGGGTCCTTGGGGGTTTGTTTCATTGCATGTAAATTATTAATCTGTTAGGCATATGAGAAGCAAAGAAAATAATATCTGCTGTATTTCCTGTGCAGCTCTAGGCTATATTATAGAGGAAGCAAACCATCCTTCAGAAAGAGGACACATCTGAAAAGCTTGTTAGTTTTACAGTTGTGGGCTTTTTTTCTTCTTCTTCTTTTCCAGTTAATACTACTTCTAGGGTATGTGATTACCCACCACTAAAATTCTCCAAGATACCTTTTCTGAATGAGGGACCCCTAAAGAAGAGGGTTACTTGATGAACAAAACTAATACCAAATATTTGCTTTTTAATTGACTTGAAAATGCTGCTACAGCATGAGATGTTATCTCAAAATTAAAATAACTTCTTGGCTTTATACTTGCCACAGATACTCAGTGAAATGTAAGCACCTGATTTCACAAGCTTGCGGGCTTGAGTAATTGCTGAACAATTTGGGTTAAGGGAAAAATATATGTGTATATACATATGAATTTATTGTTATATCATTATAAGTCTTGTCAGTAAGCTTTTGTTCGCTTTTATCTGACCTTGTTCCCTTTTTGTGGTGCTGTAGGATCAGCAGCCGTCCTGGCTTTCAGCTCCACCAAGATCAGAAGGCGTGTGGCTCTTTGGGCAGGGCTTGCTGCCTGAACAAGTCTTCCGCCTTCGTCTGGAAGAATAGATGTTGAATTTATTGCTTCTGGGTTTCTTTGCTTTCTTGGAATATCCTTTGGGAATAATTTTGGGGGTCCTAGCTGTTAACATCTTTGAGGATTACTTTTTCTGGCTGGAAATTAATATTGCTTATGAAACAGTGGTATAAAAAGGGCAAATGTGTCACTTGGCTAATCAGGTGAATTTATTACAGCATAGCTAGAGTAATGGTGTTTATCTGAAAAAAATAAAGTAACTTTAAATATTGTTTCTGTGAGTGAGCTCTGCAGATCACCGGGGAAGAGCACGACCTGCAGCTACTAATGCCAAGTATTACTGCACGTAGGTAACTAAGCATTTTATCAAAAGGAACTCTCGCTACATACGAGAACCAGATTTTTTGTTATCGTTCTTGTTGCTACAATGCCTTTTAGTGGCACTTTAACAGATTTTCAACAAAAATAACAACCGGCCCACGTGGGACACGCTCCACAGGCGGGAGGAGGGACGGAGCCACCGGCGGGGACGCGGGGAGACGCTAGCAAAGGACGGCAGAGAAAGGGTGGGCAGTGCGACCGGGGGCGAGCAGCGGCTGAGGGTACTGAGGGAATCTGCAGCAGACAGAGGGGTCCGTAAGCAAGCGGGAGGATGTGAAAGCCCCTACCCCGCCTCCCTCCCGCCTGTGTGGGGTGGTGGCTGCGGCTCCGGCCCTCCCCGTTACCGCCCCCCGTCACTAGGTGATGCTGCAGTCAAGATGGCGGCGGGAGCTGAGTGAGGCAAAGCGGAGACAGCCGCTCCGCTCCCGGCGGTCTCCCCGCCTCGGGCAGGGGGAGGCGGAGGGATGAGGCGCGTCCCCGATCCCGGCTGGTTGTCGTGAGGGGCGTGGGCCGGCAGACAACCATGGCGGGGATTATCAAGAAGCAGATCCTGAAGCATCTCTCCAGGTCAGTGGGGCGCCGTGCTCCGGGTGGGCTGAGGGTTGTTACGGGGGGAAGGGTGAAGGTGGGGGCTGGCAGGCGGTGGCAGCTCCCGGTCCCAAGGTCCACGGGGCCTGGCGAAGGGGCGGGGGTACCGGGCTTCCTTCAGCCCTCGGAGGGTGGAGCTGGAGCCGCCTCCTTGGGGTGACTTGGTGGCGGAGGGGCTGTCCGGCAGTGTCAGCCTGAGGCGAGGAGGGGGCTCGGCCTGGCTGGCGCAGAACGGAGTCACCGAGTGAGTCACAGCTGGGCTCCGGTCGCCTTTTCGCCCGGCAGACGGTGCCACCCCCGCAGCCTGCCGCACGGCGTCGAGCGAGGCGAGTCGGGCGGGTGCTGCCGCGGCAGCGGGCTCGCAGGTCCCGGGAGGCGCCTGCGGCGCAGCCCCTCGGCGGGGGCTGCTGACGGGGCCCGCCGGGTGCCTCCCCGACCAGTCCGTGGCGGCGAGAAGTTGCGCGAAGCAGCGCGGAAAAAGAAGGGGAAAACCCAAACGCCGCCGTAATTCAGAGGGGGCGGTGTTTGCACTGTCCGTCCCCGTTCCCTTGGAGTGCGAGAGCTCAGCGTGTGCCCTCAGGTCTGCGCGCCACGGCTGAGCTCCTGCAGGCTCAGGTGAGGCCCTCGAACAAAAGGATGCGTTCCTGTGCCCGGACGAAATAGCTTCCACGTTTTCTGGGTGACTGCAATCGTAACTAACGTGCCTCGTGGGTTAAAACAAACAAAAAAACAAACGACACCCCCGAATGTAAATTTTTTTGTAGCTGTCTGTGTCGTGTGCTTCAAAGACAGAAAGACTGGAGAAAGTACTGTCTGATTGATACCATTTTTAAAAGGCACATTACATTTCTCCCATTTTCTAAAGAGAGACAAAAAAAAAACAACGACCCAAACATTAAGTACTTGATCTGTCATGATACCGTAGTGCTGTTACTCTTCAGAGCTTACTTTTATATATAAAAAAATACAACCTGAAATACTGGTTCCTGATTTGCCTTTTGAAAAGGTATTAATCTATTTTTGTGTGATATTTCTGAAAGGTGTTTATTTTCATCAATGCTAATAAAGAGAGGAAAAAACCCTAAATGAAATGAAAAATTCTGATTTGACTAATCTGTGGGTGATGCACAGGAAAAATATAACTGACATTCCTATTCCTTCGATATCTATGTGCTAAAGGTGCCATATGAAGCTGTAGTAGAATAATGTTTCTTCTCCACCTTACTCATGAGGTTTGTATCTGGGAATGCTGGTACAGAAATCTTGTCTTCACAGGAGAATAGCTGAGCACTGTGGGAATGGAAATGCAATACAAAGATGTCATCAGCCTTGAGTCAGTTTTCTAATCAGAAATGTGCTTGGAATCACTGGACTTAATTAACTGGTACAGCTCACTTCCTATAGCACTGCTGAGCAAGCTGTATGGAAAAGATGTGGTCTTTAGTCTCTGTGCTACAGAGTTAGAGTCTACAGTGTGCCTGTGAACTAGGCATGGTAACATGAGCTGGTTTTTGTCAAGTTTTTAGAACAGCTGAATAGATTAAAATTAAGTACTTTTTTAAAAAGTAGTTGGCATTAGCTGCCAGATTTGTGTTTCCTTTCTTGTGTGATGTGATAATGCTTATTCAACTGGACTACATCAAAGGATTGTGACAAGTTTAATCATTTTTAAAAAGTGACATGGGATATATCTCACAATCTGAGGTGTGCAGTTTGAAGTTGAGGCTCATGATCCACACTATGCTGTCACTGAGTGTATTTGCTGTATAAAATATACACACTATTATTATTAAGCCCATTATTACTGGTGTTCTTAATCATGTGATCAGATAATATCTTTTCTTCCTGCGGAACTGGTGCTTCAGAGGTTGTAGAAGTTGGTTATGCAAGAAAACAGAATTCAAGTGACACGAGCACCTGTAAATCTGTTGGCTTTTTAAATTTTAAGAACTTGATTTTTCAACAGATATGATAATTAGCTTTTTTTCAGATTTTTTTTTTTTAATATGTTTTATAAGAACATAAGGAAGGTAGGCTTCACACACTCTTTCATTTTAGTGTGGAGCCAGGTACATAAGGAATTTCCTTTAATACCAAAGGACTCTTTCACTTTCTACTCTATAACTATATTGGTGCCTGTTCTGCAGTTTTCATAGCTCCTCTAAACTAATGCTTGTTTTCCATCTTCAACAAAGCAGGTACTAGCAGCAGAATTAAAATGTACTGGGAGAAGTCCCTATGTAATAGCAGGACAAGTCTTTCCATTCTTTTATCTCAATTTCCTTTCATTTTTGATGATTGTATTTCTCTTTGTGTTTGAGCAAAGCCAAATCTAATATGTACTTCAGAGAACAAATAGAAGATGCGAGGCTGTACCCTCAGTTACAGGAAAGTATGTACTTTTCTGCCACAAATCACAGAATATTAGAATGGTTGAGGTTGGAAGTGATTTCTGGACGTCATCTTACCTAGCTCCTCCAAATAATCATTGGTTTCTGAAGGTTCCTGAAATATCTGTTACTTGTGTGTTAGCAATTTTCAGCTTTCTTGCTGTCTAGATACTGTATATGCAAATTTGAAAGCATTGTGTCATTCAGCAGTGTAGTTCACATTTAGCAGTTTGCGGTGCTTTTAGGTGAACTGTTATGGACACTGATGTTGGTAAGGAGCCTTAGCATTCTGTGTTTGTTAGCTAGGGAACAGTTTTACATAGGTATGAGTCTTTAAGGTCTGAGAATAAGAAGACCCAAACTGAATTTTGGAACAATTCTGTTATCTAAATGACCTTTTACCTTTGCAAAAGGTTTTTCTCTATATTGCGTCTTAAGAACTGTGAAGGTAATAGAGTTTATTTACTCAGTTTGTAAGAAACCTGTATCCCATGTCAGGATCTAAATTTTTAGCTTTCAGTCTTTTAAAAACTTCTAAAATATAAGCTATGACCTCTATGTTCAAGATTCATTGCTCTTCTCCAAGGCTGTGGTAGAAAATGAGAGGGAGGGAAGTAGAGAAACAAATTTTTTTTTTTGTTCTTCAGATTATGTGGTGCTTGGTGTAGAATATGAAACTCAATGATATCTGCGAAGCCAAAGACATGAGTTTGTCATTTGGAGGCTTGAATTTTTGTCACCTCCGTATTGTGTGAGGACAGGTTATTTTGTTTGTTTTTTTTTTTTTTGTGAATGTGATTGGTGAAGTGTCTTTATTTCATAATATATGTGCCCTAAAATGGAGCAAGTGTCTGTCTGGGTAGGGGCATTTATCTTTTATGAAGGTAGGAATGAGATACTCTACTGGGGAGTCTTCTGTGTAGTCTTGGGATCACTTAGTGTCAAGGTCTTCCCCAGTGGACTGAAACTTGTGTTGAATCTTCATATGTGCGATTACGTGTTTTCATAGGTGAGAGATTTCTTCTTGAACAGCGCTTATTGCAGGATTTTCTGTGCACTGCTCTGCTATGATAGAAGCACATAGCCTTCAGCATTACTTCTTTTTCCTGTTAGACTTTGTAGACAACTGTATGAAACAATAGTGTTAAAAATTTCCAGGACTCTGCATTGCACTATGCAAGTTCACAGTAGTGTTGCTGTATGCTGTCTGTAATTATAAGGGGATCACCCACTGCAGAGTGGGTACTGACAGAGGTTGGGTGGTTTTGGCTTTTAGTATCACTGACTGAAATTCCCTTTCTAGTTAATGTGTAGTCTTGAGTCTTCTGTGTAAGAATCCGCAATATCCATGCCTCTCTGTGAAAAACAGTTTTATTTCTCAAAATATATCTTGAGAAGCATGAAAGAAAGTTTACAAACTTTGCGTCTATATTGAGTTAAGTAGCTCCATTGACTATGACATTCTTCATCTGTTAGATACTATCACTTAAATTTACCAGTGTTTTCATACATATTTCATTTTTACATGTTTCAAGCTTTAAATTTACTTTCTTTGAATCTTATTTGCTATTTTCACAAAGAAAACAGTAAGAAGATTTACAGTGTTTGATATGGCAGAAATCCAAATTGTTTTCAGTTTGTGTCATAAGTTAACATTCTGCATGAACTTAGACCTTTTCTTTTGCTCACCTGAAGCAATAGATGTGAAAATAGTAAGATTTTAAAATGTAGTGCAATTTTCTTCTATTGTGACAACTTTTTTCACCTCATAGTTGGAAGTCATTCTAAAACACATATGAAAAGTGGTTTTACAAAGAATAGCATACTAATG